TTACCATCTTTAATACCAATTTTCGTAAAATGATCTCAAACTTTTGAAGTACTTACCCTAGGTCTCTTACTTTTTCTATCAAAATCCTACCCTCATTCTCAATCTCTTATATGGTTGGTGGCAAATAATCATTCAAATTATCATGAACACATTGATCATCTATGGTTTCATTTGGTTATGTAATAATTGTACAATACAATGTTTCAAAATTCATTGATTCAAGTCTAAAGTAAAATAATTAACTAATTAATGTGCAAAAAAATTTGATTATGATGAGAAAAGAAATAAGGAATCAGGCACACCACACCACGATATGTGAAGCAAATTGCGTTGGAATCGTGCACACTACAGTCGCACTATGTAGTACTGTCTGCAAAGCTTATAATTGTCTACACCATGGCCTGCGCTACGCTATAATTGTACACATTATTCACAATGGTCTACGAAGTGAAGGGGTATGTTGTGCTGGAATCATCCACATTATTCGCCACGGTCTGCGAACCAGAGGGGTCTATATGTTGGAGTCATGCACAACGATTTGTACTATGCACGACGATATGCATTGTTCACCATAGTCTGCATTATGCAACTCAGTCTATAGAGGGTGGGGAGGTTGGTCTGCGTTGAGCTCAGTCTAGTTTTTAGGAGAAGCATGGTCTATGTATGCCTTGGTATGTTCTGCACCGATAGAAGTGATGAGAGCATTTACATTTTAGGTTTAGGGTTTCATAACTTAAAAAAATTAGGTAGGTTGATGAGCCAACCTGGTTTACCATAGGTTCAATCTAGGTGAGCCGGGTTCATAGCGGACCGAACTCAAAATTGGCCCATATCAAAATTTCAACTTTCTTTTAAACCCAATCTAGTCCGAATCTGTGATGGGTTGTGTTGGCTAGCGAGTTCAAACTTGTTTTGACAATTTTAACTAAAGTAGCATAAGGTTTGCATGACCATGCATGCAATGATGTCACTAGTATAGGTGCTTTTAGGAACAAACCACTTGCACGTCTTGTTATAATTATTTTAATTGATTGCTTTTTTTTAGTAATGTGTTTCACTAAATCGTTTTTTAAGGGTGATTATTCCATAAATAAGAAAAATCTTAAATAATTCTCCAATAAATAAATGCTCAAGGAATAAAATAGTATTTTTATTATAAATTTTTAGAATTATTACGTTTAACCTATATGAAGCCCAATAAGTTAGGTGTGTAAAGGTTAAGCAGTAAGGAACATTAGAAGCAAATCAAGCTAAGCATAGTAATATTTTTGGCAAGGCTAAGTCAAAGATGATCAAGGAAAAGTAAAAATAAAAAACATGTGAAATATGATTCAAAGGCATGAGAAGTATGCTTCAAAGGAAGCATGAAAGACATGAATAGCAAGCTTATATGCAATGCAAATTTTTGACCAAAATTTTTCACTTTTCATTGCATTTTGAATTTCAAATATTTCTTTCATTTTGCATTAATTTAAAATTTTATTTCATTTAAGAAGAATTAGTATTTGAACGTTTCAAGTGGCTATAAATAGATCATTCTTCTCTTTATAAAAGAACTTTTGATATAATTGAATGAGAGCCTATTTTTTAAAAAGTTTGTATGATACTTTGAAAATGAAAAATTATCTTCTTGATGACTCTTGTCTTAAATAAATCAAACGTTAACTCTATCAACACTTGTCTTAGAGTTTCTATAAGTGATAAGACAACTTTCATTCTTTGGAGACTTTTTCCTTCTATTTTCTCTTTTCTTTTCTTTGAATTATTGAATTCTATTTTTTTCTTATTTCTTTCTTTTTAAATATATCTTATTTGTTTAATCATTTTCTTTTTTTTAAGACACCACATCTAAAAAATTCTATATATTAAACTCCGTGATAAATTTTTAGCAATTTTTATCTAATATTTTTCATTGTGTTATATTCTTTTCATTTAAATTTTTATATAATCTAAAAAATTAAAGTCATACCTAATGAGAAACATTAGAATTTTATTATATTTCTCTAAATTTAAAAATTATGAGAACATAAATTTCATTAATTATAATTAGGGATGGCAACGGATCGGGTCGGGCACGGATAGTGCCTACCCGCAACCCGACCCGACAAAAAAAAATCCACCCGCTACCCGACCCGTTACCCGCATGGATATCCGCTTAAAAAATATCCGCGGATATTTTAAAACCCGCGGATATCCGTGGATACCCGTGGATACCCCACAAATATTTAAAAAAATATATTTTTATAAAATATTATAATAAAATTTAAATAAAATTACAAAAAATATATAAAATATAATATATATTAAATTAAATATAAATTAAAATTTAATTTTAATTATATTTAACTTTATAAAATATAAATTAATGTTAATTTTAATTAAATTTAACTTAATAAAATATAAATTAAATTTTTATTTTTATTTTTTGCGGGTAGCGGATATCCGCGGGTACGGATAGTATAATACCCGCACCCGACCCGTTTATAAGCGGGTATTAAAAAATCCGCAACCCGCAACCCGCGGGTAGTAAATATCCGCGGGTACCAACTATCCGTCACGGATTTTATCTGCGGATATCCGCGGGCGCGGATTTTTTTGCCATCCCTAATTATAATGGAGTGATTCAAGTTAAACTCTTATTATTATTATTATTATTATTATTATTATTATTATTATTATGTAAAACTAAAATAATTTATTAAAATTGAAGTAGCTGTTAACTTGACTACATGCAGGTTAGTTAAAACATATATTTAGTACATAGTTACTTTACTGGTTTATTCTGGACTAAGACATAATAGAAGTTGTATCTACACCTTTTACACTTGTGATGAAATTAGCAAATTCTTGCTTACCTAAAATGAACAATAGGCATACCAATTCTTTATCTATTAGTAAAACCTTGAAAAATATACCAAAGTTGTAATCTTTTAAGGGAAAATCACCAATTAAAAACTCAATGTAAATAGATTATGACAAACCAACTTGCTTTATATTTCCTTTCCACGTTAATGCAGAAAGTTAATATTATTAACAACTTCAACTTTTGTTTTTTCTCAAATTCTAAATCTTGCATACTTTATATGATCACCTTCTTCTTTTGTTTCGTATTCAACTTTTCTATTTTCTCATGTATATACACGCAAATTTCTATATTCTAACTTTCATACAATCTCTTTTTGCAAAGTCATGTGACAATACCCTTCCATGATTGAGAACATAATTTCAAAATTGTTCAAATTTTCTTATAACATATCAGGAAGTTCCACGAAATTGCAAAATTTATAAGCTTGATTCTAGGAATTGTTTCCACAAACGTTATGGTACTTCCATGCATCTATTAAGCCAAAACGACAAAAAGGACTAAATCATTAGATAGTCATGTAGTAGAATTTTTTTTTTCTGTCCATGTAGTTTTGGTTTACCTAGGAAGTTAACTTTTTGTCCATATTTTTTTAAGCAACAACAAACATTGTATCAGAGTAACTTGTTTTCGGTTTCACTCTCTTCCAATTTTCACCAGAGGTTTTGTACTTTTATATATGCCTTCCAGTGAAATACCTTACTATTCTTTCCTCTTTGGTTTTGCTCTTGAAAAGAATTTGAAAGACAGCAAAGAAACTGTTAGAAATAGTGTAACAGCGGAATCTAGTGGAAGACAGATACTATACGCTTCAGTGTGATGCATCATCCATCATTCACTTTGCATGGTTAGATTTCTGGCCAAGTCGTTGTCCAATAAAAGTCCAAAGGGAAGAAAATCTCGTTCACAGTGGCAGGTTGAAGTGAATAGTGAAAAGGAAACTTCAGTAAACATACATCTCAGATTCTGCTTTTCATGTATCAGAAACAAGATCTTCATCTTGCAGTACTGATTTCTTCACTTTTACCTTGTCTTCAAGAAACCCTTCAAATCTCACAAATATATTAATATTTCATTCTCTTATATATTATTCAAATATTCTCCATTGTTACTTTATAGATAAACATATGTTTGATAAATTTCTTCACATTAACAAGAGAGAATTAAAAAAAATGAACTGAAATTATAAGCTAAAATCAACTTTTTACATAAAGTATAAATAAGTCTTAAAAGAAATTAATGTAAAAAAATTCTTGATATTTACTTTCGACTTTGAGCTTCTTAAAAATATTTATGTAAAAGTTAATAAATCTTATGTCAGAATATAAAAGCTTATACTGAATGCCAAAAGCTAATATCACAAAGGACAACCGGTAATGTAAACTTTCTCTGTGCCCTTTGGTTACTCCATAAAGTCTTGTATATAATCCAAATGATACTGATAAGAAATCTTAGCAGGAAGGGGTTTTCTCTTTTCCACACATTCACTTGGTTCATATTGAAAGAACAGCAAAGCTTTTAGCTGTCAAATGTCTGTATTCATGGCCTTCCTATCCTTCCCACATGACTTTGGACCACATTCCTATATAGTTTCTTTCTCCATCTGATATAGTATTTTGCATTAGCTCACTCAAAATATCTTTGGATTCTCCAAAATTGGGAAAAATAAGGTAATTAGCTGCTTGACATGACATATTCGTGAGAGTAATTTCCACATGATGTTGATTGATTGTTATCTGATAATTATACTAGCAAGGACTTGCAAAGTAGCCAATGCAGCTTTCCTTTTTGGTATTGCAGTAAGTTCGTTAGTTAGCAACATGCATCATAAATAAAACATTGATGAACTTTTTCTTATAAAACTTTGGAGAAGCAAATGAAAATAAATATAACAGAGAAAGTCAAGTATTAATTAGGGCAATCTTTACTTACCAAAAAGGTTTAACTATTGTGAGAACAACTTTTCATTTTCTCTGTCTGGTGCCACAAGAGGGGACCTCTTTAGGAAAGTTCTACAAAATCCAAAAAGTGTAACTCTGGCTCTAATTTTGCTTTTGTCATTATTAGCTGCATGGTATATATGTTCAGCTCCAACTTGCAACAAACTTTATATATATAGCACCATCATGTAGCCTACCATTCTCACATTCCCATTCACACTTCAACACTACCAAGCCAAGATGTTTCTTCACACTGTGTTCCTCCTTTCCTTTCTCTTATCCACTTCCCATGCTACTGTTCAAGACTTCTGTGTGGCAGACCTAAAAAGTGCAGATGGCCCTGCAGGCTTTCCCTGCAAGCCAGCTGCCAAAGTTACTTCAGATGATTTTGTGTTTGCTGGCTTAACTGAAACTGCAAATGTCACAAACATAATCAATGGTGCTGTGACCCCAGCATTTGTTGGTCAGTTCCCAGGTGTTAATGGTCTGGGACTATCAGCAGCAAGGATAGACCTTGGTCCTGCTGGAGTTATCCCACTTCACACTCATCCTGGTGCCAATGAACTTCTACTAGTGACTCAGGGTTACATCCTTGCTGGATTTATTTCATCAAGTAACGTTGTTTATCAGAAGTTACTGAAAAAGGGAGAGCTTATGGTCTTCCCACAAGGGTTGTTGCACTTTCAAATAGCAGTTCATAAGAGGAAGGCCACTGCTTTTGCTATTTTCAGCAGTGCAAGCCCTGGCCTCCAAATCCTTGACTTTGCACTGTTTGCCAGCGACTTCTCTACACCTTTGATCGCACAGACAACTTTCCTTGATCCTGCTCTAGTCAAGAAGCTTAAGGGTGTTCTTGGGGGCAGTGGTTAATTAGCTAGAGCAGTCTCATGGTTATGATTTATGAATTGTTCATTGTATTGCTTAATCCATTACCTTGTGTTGTTTAGATTCCTTAGACTTGTCAGGTCTTCTGGACATTGAATTATTCGTGTCATGCGGAGTGCTTAATTTTTGCTTTTCATTTCTGTTCCAAAGGTGAAGAATGTCTCTTGAGACTTGAGCATGACCATGTTTAGATGGGTTTGCCACTGTTAATTGCTGAACAAGTTTATCCAATGTTTTCTGGTGTGCTATTTCTTTTTCAAAAAAGATTCTGCTTGTCCTTTTACTATCTCGTAATTGTGTTTCGTTCTCAGTCTTGTTTCTTAACTTTTTGACTAGTTATATTTACATAGGAAAATGTTATTTGGACAACAAAAGTTTGACACAATTTTGACAACGGCGACGTGGCAGCTGTGCATTGGCTCAGTGAATTGAAAACAAACCAGAAAAAACCCAAAATACCCCTCACCCCGGTTCACTGAGCCAATGCACAGCTGCCACGTCGCCGTTGTCAAAATTGTGTCAAACTTTTGTTGTCCAAATAACATTTTCCATTTACATAATACCTTTTTTAATTATACCCCTTAAATTTTGAGATTAAGTAAGTGTACAAATGTGACGCAGATTCAGTTTATAATTTAATCGTTTAGTCCATTCTTACAAGAATTCTTTTTTAAGAGGATATATCAAGTGGAGATAAAAAAGAATTCTATCCACAAAGCCACATGTATCAGTCGGTCATGATAATATATAATTTTTCAAAACAATATCATTTAAATTAATATTTTTATATCATATTTATTATTATATTATTAAATAAAATATATAATTTAATATCGTTATTAACTATAATCTATTTATTAATTTTACCGTAGAAAAATAATTTATAGTGTTTAAGAAAGCAGTAAATAAGATATTGTGATAAAGTCTGTACATAACAAAAGAAATATAAAGTTTAACCAAAATATGAAAATGTTGAATTAATTCTAATAAAATTCACACTAAAATTTTATAATTAGTATATATATATATATATATATATATATATATATATATATATATTAATTATTAAAGAGAAATAAACAATTGATAAGATTTAAGTGTAAATTTAAATCATAAATTAAACAAAGAATATATAATAAAAAAGTCTATAAGTTTATTATTCATAAATTCATTATTTTAAACTTCATTTAACTTTTAAATGAAGGTGTCTTATTTAATTTTGATTTTGATTTAGATCTTGGATGTATTTTTCGCATAACAAAATTAAATATGTATCTTATATACTTTAAGAAAAAAGATGTTTAACGAATTAAAAGAAAATTAATATATATATTTTTTTAATAAATTAAAAACACTTATATTTGTAATAGATTAAGAATTAATTATATATATTTTTTGAATTATAAAAGAATATTTTTTTTTAAAAAGAATGTATATGAATTGATCCTGATCCACAGAACTTTTATAAATATTTTTGTTTTATAGACTTTTTAAATGAGGGATTTCAAATAATATAAAAGAAACCAAACTGAGATATCTAAATTTGGGTATGCAATGTGGACAAATGAAAGTGATTCAATCACTACATTTTTACATCCTAGAAGTTGATATCTATAAAGTGTACACGATAAGGATGATAAAGATCTGAAATAGTTGATATTATGAATAGAGACAAAAATAAATAATCTCTCTTTATATTATTGAACAATTTATACTTTGTATGCACAAAATCGGAGTTGTTTTCAAAAGTTTAAGGATTATGATGAAACTATGTAATAGAACTAAGTAATAGTATGTCAAATATTCTAAGAAAACCTAAAGATGATATAAAGTTAGTTTGGTGATAAAGGGAAAAGAGAGAAATAATATTTATAAACTTGAATATCGGTAAAAAAAAATATATTAACAAATGTGTTGACACTTAATTATTTAAAGAAATTAAACATTTAAAAAAATAGGGAAACTAGGAAACAGCAAAATAGGAGTAGCATTTTCCCAATGTATCTAATTTATCAGGTGGAATGTAAAATGTTTAAATTTTAACATAAACTCTATTTGAAAAAAATAAATTATTAATGCCAATGTTTATCTCCTTTTACAAGTGATATTGGTTATGGACCATTTGTTGCTCGGAATGCGACAGAAGATAAAGGTATCACATGCAAAATTGGATTTCTATGTAAAAAGCTAGGCTACACACTAGTCATTTTGCATGGTTTGTCTTTTTTTTCTTTCAATATTAAAATCATGCATATAAATGTAAATAAAATTTCAAAACTAAATCATTCTTTCCTATAAAAACTACCTTTTGGTTTTTTACTTGAAGTTTTTATTTTAAAAAAGGCTTAATACCCTATTTTGTCCCCGCTCGAAAATGTCAAATTAGTCCATCTTTTAAAAAATGCGTTAATTACGTCTTCAGTTAATAAAATTTGCATCAATAAAATCCCTTCCGTACAGACGGCGTTACTTAATAAGAGAGAAAAATAATTAACGCCGTCTGTACGGATTTAAGGGAAGGGATTTCATTGATGCAAATTTTATTAAGTGGGGACGTAATTGACGCATTTTTTAAAGGATTGACTAATTTGACATTTTCGAGCGAAACTGGGGACAAAATAGGGTATTAAGCCTTTAAAAAATATGGACCAAGTCAAACCTTAATAAAATCAATTTTGAAACCATATTTTTTTTATTCAAGGTAAAACTTAAACTTATATTTATATTTTTCAAGAATCTTTTATAAGAGTGAATTCATTTTATATTAATATAATTTTTTTGAAGTATTCTGATGAATAGGTACTACCAAAAAATATAACATCGATAAGACTTACATATAAAAAAAATTGACACAACTTTCCTTCTAAAATACAATTAAGGGTCTAATATTATATAATATGTTTAATTTTCTCATGTGAGAATTAAACTTATACTTATATCCTCAACACTTTTTAAGTAAAATTTATTTTTTCAATTAGTTGAGTTTATTTTAAAAAAAATGTTGTAAAAAAATTAACTTTTGAAGTGATTCTAGTTGAAATTAGAAATCAAACCTAATAATTTGTTTATGTTTGTATATTTTTCTAGTCACATGTCCAAACAATTTTTGGTTTTATTTTAATTTATCAAGATAGACTACACTACTTCGGTAAGTGGTTATAACCAAAGTCAATTTTTTTTCTTTTTATTTCATTTTACTATATTTTGATTGTAGAATCGGAATTTAATATCTAAAAGAACTGTTAGTTGTATTTCTTCTCTAGTGGTGCAGTATATTTTTATATAATGGCAGTTTATCTTATTGTATTATAGTGATCATGCATGAATCATCATTTTAATATTTTTATAATGACAATTCATGACCCTAATGTCAACCATCCCTCCTTCTTTAAGCCACTTTTTCCGAGCATTGGATCTAGCACATATAATACTTCAAATGAAACAAGTGAAAGTAATTTTTCTATAGGTTAAAGTTAACGGAAAATTCTTATTTCAAATTATTAGAATACTGCCACATTTTTTAATTCTTGTTTATTCATAATAACATAAACAGTCTCGCTAAAAAAATGAAAAAGAAAATCACAACTATGGCACATGATGGCATATAGCACCGTATTTGTATTATGCAGCAAAATTCACGAAAGATTTTGCAGCAATGTATTTTACTTTCCTTTTACTTCTATCGTGTTTTCTCATCAAGATTTACAATTCCTAATGATATTTTTTATATTCTTCCAGTCAATGTTCAACATTTTTCATATATATTATGAAATTAATTAACATGATTTGACTTGATAGTTAATGCCATGTGGAAGTAAATTCTACGTTACTGCATGGTCATCTCTTAGTTTACTCTCCAACTTGTAACAATGGCCTTATAAAAGGCTTCCTAATCCCACCCCACCTTCACACCAAATCCATTTTCATTCATCGAAATTCTTAGATGAAGATGATTTACACTCTTTTTCTTTTCGCTCTTCTCTCATCAGCTTGCCATGCTTTTGTCAATGATTTCTGCGTAGCAAACCTAAAGGGTCGTGATGGCCCTTCAGGCTACGAGTGCAAACCACCCAACACAGTGACAGTGGATGACTTTGTGTTCTCAGGTTTTGTAGCTGGAAACACCTCAGGAATTTTCAATGCTGCAGTAACACCTGCATTTGTGACTGAACTTCCAGGCGTGAACGGTCTTGGTTTATCTGCAGCACGGTTAGACCTAGCCAAAGGTGGATTTGTTCCGGTGCACTCACATACTGCTTCAAGTGAAATAATGATAATGGTGAAGGGTGAAATCACTGCAGGGTTCATAACACCTTCTGCAGCTTATCAGAAGACACTGAAACCAGGAGATGTTATGGTTTTCCCACAAGGACTCTTGCATTTCCAAGTGAATTCTGGTAAGGGAAAAGCCACTGCTTTTCTTGCTTTCAGTAATCCAAGCCCAGGAGCTCAACTACTTGACCTTCTTTTATTCGGCAACAACTTGCCTTCTGAGTTGATTTCTCAAACTACTTTGCTTGATTATGAACAAGTGAAGAAGCTCAAGGCTCGTTTTGGTGGCAGAGGATAGGAATATTTCTCATGAGTTCATCCTTCATCGTTCCTATGTTTGTTTTGTTTCTGATCACAGTCAATAATGATGTTTTGCATGTATTTTCCATTTTGATGTTGAAGATTTCATGAAATAGGGAGCACGTTGGGAAGTAGGGTTAAGTTAAGATCTGCTTAAACTTGATTAGTTTACTTAATTTTATCTTCCATCTGATATTGTTTACTTGTGTTATTCAAGAATGATGTCGTAGTATCACCTGTACCAAGATGTGTCTTGTGTAGATGATTTGCAACTAAGCCAAATAATAGTGCATTTGCATATCAACACACTCTAATAAAATTCTAAGAATTAAGGAGGTGAAAAAAATTAATATTATTTATTATATTAATTACAGATTACATAAGAGGGGTACAAATATCTAAACATATTATTACATAGATTTTTTAAATTTAAATTAAGACTCACATAAATATAAATTTTAAAATATTTTAAAATTTTAAAATCATACGTAAATATGTGTAATCCAAAAAAACTTTAAATATTTAACAATATGTTTATAATATGCATATACTTGATTGAAAATATGGTTTTAAATTTTAGATAAAATTGAAGAAATGTGTAACCTTTTTAACCGATAATAAATGTAAGGTTAGAATAGACCTATATTTTTTAACAACATCAATATTACATG